TGTGCGCGCTGTACAAGGAGGCCGAGCTGCGGCTCAAGAGCAGCTCCAACACCACCGAGTGCGTCCCGGTGCCCAGCTCCGAGCACGTGGCCGAGATCGTGGGACGGCAAGGTGAGCGCCGGGACGCCGGTACCCCCGATCCCCACCACGGTCCTCCCGGTCGCCGGTCCCGGGACACTCCCCCCGCGGCCGGGGGGCCCCACCGCCGCCCCCGCCGCTCCCTCCCGCCCATTGTTCGTGGTCGGGGCCGCTCGGCCCCGCCGGGGACAAAGCCCTGGAGCTCCCCAGCTGCGGGCGGGTGGCTGCGCTCCCGGCACGGGGGTTTTTGGGAAGGGTGGGACGGGAAGTCTGTGGGAATGCTGCGGGGGCTTGTCCGGTTGCCGGCACCGGAGCCCCGCGCGCCGCTCCCGGTTCTGCCAAAGAGCCGATCCCGGCCGCGCTCTCCTTAAAAAAAGAAAAAACCTGGGAATAAGGCGGGGGGAGCGGGCTGAGCCCGGCCCCGCGCCCCGGAGTCCCCCTTTGTTGGCTGGGCGGAGGGGGTGTGGTGGTGCCGGGCTCGGTCCGAGCGGCCGGTAAAGCGGGTGGGAGCCGAGCTCCTCCCGCCGCTCGTGGGAGCGGGGGGACCCTGGAGCGGGACCCGCCGTCCCGCATGGGCCCCCCGCAGCCGCTGCCCGCGCGCCGCCACAGTGATGCTTTTGTTCTCCTCACGGCTCCGTTCGGAGCGAGGTGGAATGGAGGAGGGCTTTACAAAAAAAAAAAAAAAAAAAAAAATATATATATCTATCTCCATACCACACCCACTCTTAAGTCACCCCTCGCCCACCCCCACCGCTCCCGAGTGTGCGGTGCGGGGCCCCGCTCTGCCCGTGGGCACTGCGGGAGCCGGGGCACGGTGCTGCTGAGAGAAGTTTTGTGTCGCTACAGAGGAAAAAAAATAATAATAGTGCGGCTCAGTGTTGGGGTTTTTTTCTTTCTTTCTCTGCACAAGTAACTTGTCGCTCTGGAAGTGCGACGGGCAGAACCTGCGGCTCCACAGTCAGATGCTCCCTCGTGGTTTGGGATTGCAGACATCCGAGCAGGGGTTCATGGTGGGACCCGGCGTGTGATGACCTCCCCCCGTGCTCTCAGAAGGGCTGAGGTGGGCGAGGGGAAGCCACAGGGAGAGGGACATAAATGGCTCCGGGCTGGGCATCATGATGCTGGGGTGTGTGGTGGGAACAATGGGCCCTGCGGAGGCCACACTCGCTCTGACCCGCAGAGCAAGGGTCCGGTCCCCATGCCGGGATGGAGAGTGGGCAGGAGTCTGTGGGGTGCCGACCTCCCCAAAACTTGGGGCGTCTGCAGCCGAGGGAACAGCTCTTGCTCTGATGTCCACTACGCTGGGATGGGGGCCCCTCGCCAGGGAGCTGGGGAGTTGACTGGAGCAGGGTGAAGGTCTGACCAAGGAGATCCCGCTGGCCCTGATCCTGATCCTCCCCCTGATGCCTTTACACCGTCAGGAGTGGAGCACGGGCCGACACAGCGGGCTCAGCACCGACTCCACACTGGCGGGTGTGAGGCTGTGGAGAATCAGGCCCCCTTTGTTTAATAAAGTTGGGAAAGAGAGAGGATTCAGCAGGCGGAACTGAGGGGAAACGTGCGGGGGCTGTTTTCTTCCAGGATCTCACTACTGCCCCAGACTCCCGAGAAGGGGGTGTGTTCCGATGTGTGATGTGTTCAGAACGCAGCATGTGCCTGCTGTGGCCAGAGTGATGGAGAGGAACGTGCAGACCTGGATTTTTTCCACCATTTTTAGCATGTGTGAGGTTTTTCCCACATCTGGGAAACTGTGAAATGTCAGTATGCTGGAGCCCTGGGGATGTGGCCGCGGCTGAGCTCCATCCGCCGGTGGGGCAGACGGTGCAGGCTGTGCCCCATCATGGAAGCAGGTGGGATGGATCCTGTGCTGGGAGAAGCCAGGATTCCTTCAGCACAGACCCCACAGCCATGGCTCTTTACTCCAGCAGAGATTGTGGCCCACACTTGTTTCTAAAGGCCTGTAGGAATGTCTCCAATGTTTCCTGCACCTTGTTTTTGAGTGGAAGGCCAGATTACGAGGGTCTGGAGTTGGATGTGGGGCTCCCAGGGGACTGAATTGTGCAATCTCATGAATGCCTGACCAGGAATCCCAGAAACTGCAGATTGTCACCCTTTGGTAGTACTGCTCATGTGGTGGATGGTTTTCTAGGAAAATACGTGGTTTATGGGTACATGTAAATGGGGTGATGAACATCTTGCAAAAAGTAATAATGAAATAAAAATTATTTCAGGGCTTTACTTGGTGACAGGGTTTTCTCTAACTTACTATTTTCTGATCTGAAGAAACACACTGTTCCTTTTGATTATTTTAAAATATTATTTACCATATATGAAGATGTTTCTCATGGGCAGGTATGGATATGAGAGGCCTGAATCTGGCCATGGGGGCCCAGGTGCCCACACCTGACCATGGGAATTCCACCTGCCATCAGGCCACCCCTCATTTTGCTGAATGAGTGTAAAGGCACTTGAACATAAATAAGACTCAAGCCCCATATATTTTTATTGGACTGTCTGTAAGGGTGTTTTGTGAACAGGTTTAACTGTGGCAGAGGGGGTGGCTCCACCTGGAGTGAGAGATGCTGCAGGAGCTCAACCTGAGCTTGGCAGCTCCTGCTTTCCCCGGGAACTGTGAACGTGCCCCTTGCGGAGCCAATCGCCTGCTGGAAACCTTGCTTGGGTTTGTGCTGGGGCTGGTTTGTGCGCTGAATTTGAGCAGCACATCTCCAGCAGCGCGGCTGCGAGCCGGCTGGCATGAAGGGCTGACTGGCATGAGATGGTGGGCCCTGGAAAGGGGGTCTTGGTGGGAACTGGACAGACAGGCACCAAGAGCTGCTCCTTCACCTGATGCCCCACGGTTCGTGGCAGAGAGCTGGGCAGCTGGTGGTATGTGCCGAGGGCTGCTTGGCAAACTGAAGGAGAGGAAACTGAGAAAGGAAGGATAAGGGGATGAAGTCATAAGAATCCTTTTGACTGGTGCCTATGAACACTCTGCCCCTGGCCAGGGTTGCCAGTGACACCCCTTTCTCTGGCTGGAGGTGGAGCCATAACCTCCATTGCCTGCCCTCCTGTTGCTGCAAGGGTGAGGGGCAGGGCCGTCTCCGTCTCCGCCTGGGTCATGGCTCTTGCAGGTCATCCCTCCTTCCCTTGGTGGGTTAGAACTCCAGCTGTGCTGAGTTGGGTGACTGAACCTCCCAGCACGTGCCATGGCAGGGACAGTGCTCCCTGGTTCTAGAGCCACTCGGGGCCTGTGTGGCACGTTGGGGTGCTTGATGGCTCTTGCATTTCTCCTGCCAACTCTTGTTGTGGAGGTCTTGCCTGCAACAGCCTGTCCAGGACTGCATGGGTTCTCACATCTGTGTGGATGAATTTGCCAGGGTGTAAAGACAAAGCACTGGAAGGGTTTACAGGTGGTTTTTGAGAAGATGATGGGATACTAAGGGAGTTGTGGAGGAGAAGTTTCTTGCAACCCAAGGGTGTGGGTTTAGATAGGAGAGACGCTAAGGGAGCAGACAGTGTCTTAAGGGCATCGTGTCTTGGTCATGTGTGCTGTGAACTTAGAAAGGGACGGAAATCCTCAGCCACTGCAATGATCTGGGTTCTTCCCTAGAAGTCACCTGAGATGGGTGTAAATCAGCCAAATCAAGCTTGATATTCAACTTTTCTGCCCACTCCCATGGACAAACTGGGCTGCTGGTGGTGGAGTCAGGGAAGAGGCTGCAGGGCACATTTAAGGCCAGTTGTTGTGGTTAGGGAGACATGGTGCTGGTTCTTTGTGTGTCTGGTGTGTGCAGGTATTGGGAGAACGTTGTGGTGTAGGTTTGACTTCCTGCTGCGCCTGCTCCCAGCAAGGACCTTCCCTCTAAGGATTTTTGGTCCCTCTAAGGGTTTTTGGTCTCATCTCAGTGGTAGCATCCATTGTCACCTGTACCCAGAGACACCCTTGGAGATGCAGCATCTCCCAGCCTACTTCAACCAGCTTGTTGTCACCAGGAATGAGATTATGTGAGAGAGGAGCCTAACATAAATTGCTCTTTTTTGGCAAGGTGAAGTCAAATAACAAGAGGCCTCACTAACCCTAGGTGATTGGGCTCTTTGTGTAGCTCCAAACATGCTTCAATGCTTTCAGCATTTAAAAATAGTCCAAGGAAGCCTTTTCCATTGAGGAAGTCTGATGATTGCAGCTCCCCCACCCACCCTGTGGAGGTGGATGGATGTACAGCATCCGAGGAGCAGCGAGTGGGGCAGATCCTCTTGTCTCCTTGCTTCACAGAAATCTTGGAGCTAAAACCACCTGGTCTGGTGGGGCCTGAAGCCAACCTCCATACGCTGCTCTGGCAGCTCGGGATGAGCCTTAAAGGGAGAGAGAAATTGCAGTCAGTGCTGGGTTGTTATAAAGTGTTAATGAGAATCGGTCTGAATTTACACCAGGGAAAAGTGCAGAACGGGATCGACTTTGTGCGGTTTGAACTGGAGGTGGGAGGAGAAAATGGGTCTGGGAGAGAGACAAAGGGAATTTTCTAGGGAGACACACACACACGGTCCTCCGCGCATCGGATCGGGCGGCTGGATGCCGCGCTGACCGAGTGAACCGCGCTGCAGCGCAGCCGCCCGGAATCTAGGGCAGTGGGAAAAGCGTGCTGGTGTTGGGTGGGGGCCCCCGCCTTTGTCTGGCAGCCCCCTCCCCGCATCCCCCCCCCCGTCGCTCGCCTTGCCCTGCTTCCCCCGCGCTCCGGCCGGCTCCGGCTCCGGCTCCGACCCCGAGCGTGTGCCACGGGGCCGTGGCAGGATTGCGGGGGGCCACGGGCACACCCACTCCGTGCGATGCATCGCATCGCTGTTGGGGCCGAGGGCTTTCAGTTCCCAACTTTCCACTGCCGCACAACAAGGCGGTGATTGTCTGTGGCATCAGGGCTGTTGCTTTGGGTTGTTTTGGGGGGGGAGATGTTTTTCCTTTTTTTTTTTTTTCCATAAACAACTTTCATCGCGACATGAAAAAGCGTAAAATCTCCACACTGGAACGAGGCGGTCGC